TGGAAGTCCAGGTTTCTTTGACAGTGGCCTTCAGTTCATCTGCATTTTTTGGTCTCTTGTTTTTCATTTTCCTCTTGACAATACCCCATAGATTTTCTATGGGGTTCAGGTCTGGTGAGTTTGCTGGCCAGTCAAGCACACCAACACCATGGTCATTTAACCAACTTTTGGTGCTTTTGGGCAGGTGCCAAATCCTGCTGGAAAATGAAATCAGCATCTTCAAAAAGCTGAAGGAGAAGGAAGCATGAAGTGCTCCAAAATTTCTTGGTAAACGGGTGCAGTGACGTTGGTTTTCAAAGAACACAATGGACCAACATCAGAAGATGACATTGCACCCAAAATCATCACAGATTGTGGAAACTTAACACTGGACTTCAAGCAACTTGGGCTATGAGCTTCTCCACCCTTCCTCCAGACTCTAGGACCTTGGTTTCCAAATGAAATACAAAACTTGCTCTCATCTGAAAAGAGGACTTTGGACCACTGGGCAACAGTCCAGTTCTTTTTCTCCTTAGCCCAGGTAAGACGCCTCTGACATTGTCTGTGGTTCAGGAGTGGCTTAACAAGAGGAATACAACAACTGTAGCCAAATTCCTTGACACGTCTGTGTGTGGTGGCTCTTGATGCCTTGACCCCAGCCTCAGTCCATTCCTTGTGAAGTTCTCTCAAATTCTTGAATCGATTTTGCTTGACAATCCTCATAAGGCTTTCCACACTTTTTCCTTCCGCTCAACTTTCTGTTAACATGCTTGGATACAGCACTCTGTGAACAGCCAGCTTCTTTGGCAATGAATGTTTGTGGCTTACCCTCCTTGTGAAGGGTGTCAATGATTGTCTTCTGAACAACCGTCAGATCAGCAGTCTTCCCCATGATTGTGTAGCCTAGAGAGAGACCATTTTGAAGGCTCAGGAAACCTTTGTAGGTGTTTTGAGTGGATTAGATGATTGGCATGTCATCATATTCTAATTTTTTAGTGGGTTTTTGTTAAATGTGAGCCAAAATCATCACAATTAAAATAACCAAAGACTTAAACTACTTCAGTCTGTGTGCATTGAATTTATTTAATACACGAGTTTCACAATTTGAGTTGAATTACTGAAATAAATGAACTTTTCCACAACATTCTAATTTATTGAGATGCACCTGTAAATAGATGCAATTTTATATTTTAATATTTTTGTCTGTTTTGTATAATTATTTATACATGTTCATACAACATTTGTTTGAAATGTTTCTAAATTGAATCTAAATTTATATCAATGTATATATACTGTATATTTTATATATGTGATCCTGGAGCACAAAACCAGTCTCAAGTCGCTGGGGTATATTTGTGGCAATAGCCAAAAATACATTGTATGGGTCAAAATTATCTATTTTTTTAAAGCCAAAAATCATTAGGATATTCATGTTCCATGAAGATATTTTGTAAATTTCCTACCGTAAATATATCAAAACTTCATTTTGGCTCATCAAGACTTAATTTGGATGATTTTCTTAATATTTTGATGTCTTTGCACCCTCAGATTCCAGATTTTCAAATAATTGTATCTCGGCCAAAATTGTCCTATCCTTAAAAAAACATTCATCAATGGAAAGCTTTTTTTTTTTATTCCTTTTCTTAATATTTTGATGTCTTTGCACCCTCAGATTCCAGATTTACAAATAATTGTATCTCGGCCAAAATTGTCCTATCCTTAAAAAAACATTCATCAATGGAAAGCTTTTTTTTTTTATTCCGCTTTCAGATTATGTATAAATCTCAATTTCGAAAAATTTACCCTTATGACTTATGATGGTTTTGTGGCAATGACTTTAATTTGAATTTATAGAAAAAAACGTCCCACTTCATGGTTTTAACAGTGAATCATTTTTGTTCATAAGCGAATTCATGCATGCTTACATGGCACAGTGTTGCATGTGACATCCTAATACTACTGTTTATTATCCTCAAACGACTGATGACATATTTGGGCAACCACATGCCGACTGGTTTTGTGGTAATTTGTGTTTTTGTGGCACAGGGTCACATATATGCAATGTATATACAAATATAAAATAACCTTGTCTTTTAGTTTTGGACATTATATCAATCTTTCCATGTTGTATTGGCTGATTTCATGCTCAGCAGTGTACTGCTTGTACTGAAAATTATTGATTCTTTTGATCAAAATCAAAACTGAATAGTTAATTCATGGCTATTTATTATGGATTTTCTTCCTCTGCCCTTTTACTCCTCTCTGATTCCCATTAAATTATAAGGTAATAACTCTCTATATCAATTTCTCTACCTCTTTACACACCATCAGAGCCTGGCGGTCCCTCCTTCACCATCGGAAAAGCTATTTGGCTACTTTGGGGTTTGGTCTTCAATAACTCTGTGCCCGTGCAGAACCCCAAAGGCACTACTAGCAAGATCATGGTCTCAGTCTGGGCCTTCTTCGCTGTGATTTTCCTGGCCAGCTACACTGCCAACCTGGCCGCATTTATGATTCAAGAGGAATATGTGGACCAGGTGACGGGCCTGAGTGATAAAAAGGTAAAAGGGTTTATTGGTCAAATTTAACAGCATGTGCAAAATTGAAGCTCGGGCTTCTGAAAGCTGTTATTAAAATTATAGTTCTTATTGATCTCATTTATCCTACTGTAAAAAAAAATGATCTCTTCCACCTCTAGGACATGAAAAGCTGTTTTTTTCCCCCAAAGACTGCCTTGAACTGAACGTGACTTGACTTGAAACACCAAACACTGCTTTATCCTTGGTGTTAAACAGCTAAGGTTAATTCGCACAGACTAGCCGATAAATTATGCAATATTTAAGGTGCACTGTGTAATTTTTTTGATGTTATAAAATGTTCTTCTGTCTTAGTTTAATGTGCAAAGACAGCTATAAGTAAGCCGTTTGTGGGTTTCCAAGGCTCTGGTGCTTTAAAAATATTGCTTTGTTTAAGCAATCTGACATGTCAACTTCTGGCTTAACGAATCACATGAGTTTGGGGGTGTGATTTGTTAGTGAAGCCTGTGTGGAAATTATGACTTTAATTTGAATTTATAGAAAAAAACGTCCCACTTCATGGTCTTAACAGTGAATCATTTTTGTTCATAAGCGAATTCATGCATGCTTACATGGCACAGTGTTGCATGTGACATCCTAATACTACTGTTTATTATCCTCAAACGACTGATGACATATTTGGGCAACCACATGCCGACTGGTTTTGTGGTAATTTGTGTTTTTTTTTTTTTCGTGTCATCTTTGCGTGTAAAAAATTGGGCTAATGTGAATTAGCCAACCGTTATGAAACAGAAAACAAGATTTGACTCTGAGAGGGTGCTGTAGCTTCTTTAATAATTGATGTAGTGAGATTTAGTTTTTTTACTCTTAAGTCATGCTTTACTTTTTCTGTCTAGAAGCCTGTGTGGAAATTATGACTTTAATTTGAATTTATAGAAAAAAACGTCCCACTTCATGGTCTTAACAGTGAATCATTTTTGTTCATAAGCGAATTCATGCATGCTTACATGGCACAGTGTTGCATGTGACATCCTAATACTACTGTTTATTATCCTCAAACGACTGATGACATATTTGGGCAACCCCATGCCGACTGGTTTTGTGGTAATTTGTGTGTTTTTTTTTTTTCGTGTCATCTTTGCGTGTAAAAAATTGGGCTAATGTGAGTTAGCCAACCGTTATGAAACAGAAAACAAGATTTGACTCTGAGAGGGTGCTGTAGCTTCTTTAATAATTGATGTTGTGAGATTTAGTTTTTTTACTCTTAAGTCATGCTTTACTTTTTCTGTCTAGTGAAGCTTTGAGTGTCTATAGAACATAGTCTGTGTGTTTACACTGGAAATAGTTCTATTATGAATGGTGGGACAAAAAAGATCTGTTGTATATTTAAAGCTTTTTTGAAATGACACCTCTCCTCACACTTTGTCCCTTGAGTGTTCATTGACAGTGTGGACACTGCTGAGTTATATATATATATTTCTCTCTCGCTTTCTCTCTCTTATCTAGTTTCAACATCCGAATGACTTCTCCCCTCCATTCCGCTTCGGTACTGTGCCCAATGGCAGCACAGAGAGAAACATAAGGAACAACTACAAAGAGATGCACACCTATATGACCAGCTTCCACCAGAAGAACGTAAACGAGGCCCTCCACAGCCTCAAGATGGGGTGAGAATGAAAAAAGAGAGAGATGGTATCTGCATGAAAAGAATATAAAGGCTGGGAAGACAGGGAGATGAAAAGCTTGTAGGACAGCAGTAAGTACAATATGTGATGAGTGAGTGGGTGGATGAACTCTGGATTGATAATAGCATCAAAATGAGGCCTCCTGGAGGGACTTTGTTTGGAGATGCTGATTGGTAAAAGACTGATTCAACATGAGACTGACTTCTGCTGTCCTTTATTTTATCAGTACTAATAGTGGACCATTTAAAAAGGCACTCAGTACAACAGGATTTAATGAGAGAAAAATAACTGAATACACTTTGCGAAAAAAAGTTGAATTTATTGGTAACACTACAATAAGGTTCCATTTGTTTACATTAGCATGGAAAATAATTCTGAAGCATCTTAGTTACTGTTGATTTCAACATTTACTAATACATTATCAAAAACAACAGTTGTATCGGTTTATATTATTTAATGGATCTAAGCTAACATGAACAGACAATGAACAGTTGTATTTTTATAACATTAACAAAGATTAATACTGTAACAAATGTATTTCTTATGTAATGCTTATGTAATGATTTTTATATAATAATATTATATAAAATATTAAGTTAGCATTACACACTATATCTGTGACCTGAAGTTACATCTCATATCCAACACACAGTTCCCAGGAAATCAGTTTTTTTTAACCATAAGAAATGTCATTATTTGAAATAAAATAAACATTAAGTAAAATAAATTAACTTAATTATTTAAAAAAATAAATGATTAAATAACTCATTTTCATTTAAAGTTGAAAGATTAAAATAACTAAAACTAAAACTTAATCAAAACTACATAGACAAAAAAAAAAAAACACAAAAACTAATATAGTGACAAAAACGAAATTACTAAAACTTTCAAATTTAAATGAAACAGTAAATATAAAAATAAAACAATAAAAATTCTGAATATTAACAAAAACTATATTTGTATGTCAATGATACTAAAATAACACTGGTTTGCCAAAGTTTAATGTTTGACAAGGCCTTACCAACATTCTAACATATTACTTCTCTCCCTGCCCTGTGTAGTAAATTGGATGCATTCATCTACGATGCAGCGGTCTTGAACTACATGGCTGGACGTGATGAGGGATGTAAACTGGTGACCATCGGCAGTGGTTATATCTTTGCTACTACAGGGTATGGCATTGCCATTCAGAAAGACTCAGGCTGGAAGAGAGCAGTGGATCTCGCCATTCTGCAGCTCTTTGGAGATGGTAAAGACATTTTTTTATTTTTTTATTGGATGATTGTGATGCATTAGCCACCAGTCTTAATCTGCACAAATTAGTTCAAGATTAAAGATATTTAGGGGACATTCACTAAGAATGAATCTGCATTGTCTGCATTCTTTTAGCATCTGGTTCACTGAAAAAATTCAGCGAGTCTGGTCACCACAGACACAAAAATTCAGATGTGCTCATTGCACGATAGCAGACGGTGCCTGATTAAAATGGTTTGTGGGTGGTTAGTGAATAAGGCAGGTTTTTGCGATGAAATGCTGTTCACAAAAGTGGCGCGAATGTGTAGAGGATTCACAGCTTGAGATGTTTACTTCATTCACTTCTTCTTTAAATGATTCTAAATGTGCCCTTCAAGGCAAACAGTTTTGAACAATACCTGGCAAGAGATGACAAGTGCCTACACTGTCTGTTAGAACGCCAACAAACACAAAATGGTATTAAATGTGTGAAAATATGGCATCCTGTTTTTCAAAGCTTCCTTTGTGTGAAATTCACATTCTGTTAAAGCATAATAAAGCTAATATCGAATTAATGTACTCATCAAATCAAGGATTCATCTCATAATGTGCTCTGTAATAATATAAATTACTATAGTTTACACAGGTGATGCAAAGCTAAAGCTGTTTTTAGGTTTTCTTTCATATTAGTCTGTTTGCACAAAGGATATAACTTTGTGTTTATGATTATTATATAAAATACAGCAATATAGTTGCATTAAATATGGAGGGGAAAATGTGGAAATTTGCAATGTACAAATGAAAGTTGTTGATGGTAATGTTAGATTTGCCAATATTAAGCAAATTTACTGTACCAATTATATATATACTGTATATATATATATATATATATATTTATTCAGCAAGGATGCATTAAATTGATCAGACCTCACAGTAAAGATGTATAATGTTACAAAAGATTTATATTTCAAATAAATGCTTTTCTTTTAAACTTTCTATTCATCAAAGAGTCCTGCAAAAAATTAACACACTTTCCACAAATATATTAAGCAACTGTGTTCAACATTGATTATAACAAGAAATGTTTCTTGAGCAGCAAATCTGCATTTTAAATTCTGAAGGGTCGTGTGACACTGAAGACTGGAGTAATGATGCTGAAAATTCAGTTTTACCTTCACATCAATTACATTTTAAAATTTGTATTTGTAATTAGTATATAGTATACTAATTTAATGTACTATGTTACTATAATAGTTGTACTGTACCAGCAATAGATGTACAGCATTGAAAAGTGTTTATATCCACATCTCTAATTCAGTTTGATTCGAGCGCTTTCCTAGTGATCCAGATCCAGGGGCCATTTCTATAAATCATCATCTCTTCCCCAAACAGCATCTGAGATGACAAGCTGTTTGGAACACATCCAAAGACACATGCAGAACATGCCCTATGCACCCTACACACGCATAAACAGTGTTAAAGGGGTCCTATTATGCTTTTTCACTTTTTAAATTATTGTGTGCTGCGCATTTTACTGAGGACAGCTTCCACATCACGAGTGAGAAGTGCCGAATTCGCCAAAAGCTTTTGTTGAAAGACGGAGCAAGGGGCGTGGCAGTACTGAAACACCGTCTATGCTGTTCGCCAATCACAACGCACTGGGAAAGCTTACCAATCCCAACACGTTTTGTTTTTCGGAAGGCGGACCGTCATCAAAGCCGGAACTAATCGAGCCGTTTGTGCCAGCCTGGGGAGAGAGGTATTGTAATAATGTAAATTATGTGAAAAATAATGCGTTTTTCGAACCACCAAGCATGAGAGCATGTTCTAGTACACCCCCAAAACAAAATCAAGACTTTGTAAAAGAGCATAATAGGACCCCTTTAACAATTTTAGACACTTAGGATGACATTTTGTAAAGAGATCTTATAGATACTGTATACAGGCAGAGTCATAGAAAATTCTATCGGATACATTTATATAATATACCCTACTTAAAGGGATAGTTCACCCAAAAATGAAAATTCTGTCATCATTTACTCACCCTCATGTTGTTCCAAACCTTCCAAAAGTTGCTTTCTTATGTTGAACATAAAAGATGATATTTTGAAGATTGCTGGTAATCAAATGGTTGGTGGTTGCCATTGACTTCCATAGTAGGAAAAAAAAATACTATTGAAGTTAATGGTAACCACCAACTGTTTGATGACAGAATTTTTGGGTGAACTATCCCTTTAATGATTCCTCATGCATGCATGGTCATGTCAAGCAAGTGGGACGCATTAGATTAGATTAGTGGCAAAGTGAGTGTTCATATGCATATTGACAAGCGGGCAGTGCACACTGACAGCAGTATGGACTCGGAAAGGTATAGGTGTATCACATGTTATTATATAAGCCAGCATATGATCCAGGAGCAGGAATAGAGTCCTATTTGCAAGTGTCAAGGGGGCACTTGTGTTATCTCAAAAGTACACTGGGAAGGCATCAACTGTGTGACATATACATGTAGGTACACATGAATGCACCGGCACAGCATGTGAACACCTGCGCGCACATTCACCCTCACATAGGTGTTGTGTTTTTGAAGGATTTGAAGCCTGAAGTCACCGACTACAGTTCCCAGTGTGACATAGAACTGCAGGCACTGAATGGATGGATCCTTTTGCATGTGTTTTTTTTTAGTGTGAGAAAAAGTATATTTGTGTGTATCTGCATTTGTCCCTAAAGACAGACCTGCAGAACACCGAATGGCGATTTGGAGTTTGATCCTGTCCCTCCTATGCGGGCTGTCAGGCCCCTCAGGGCCCTTATTAGAGCTGGGAACCGAATCTCAAGTGACTCCCATAAGCAATCATTAATGTGAAGAGAGCTCAGTGTGTGTGTGAGTTGGATTAATCCGTTACGACAAATGTTACACTTCACAGGGGCTGTAATTTGTTTACTGTACAGTTTTGTGGGGGCTCTAAATAAATGCAGTGCTGAAACGCATTGAAATCGTCACAGATAGACAAACGTGAACAGACACATCTGCTAACAGTAAAGCTTGAGAGCATTCGAAGCTCACAGACACACAAAACACACATCTGGAGAGGCAGAAAGAAAAAGATGCACAAACAATCACTCTCTTTCTAACCCACATTCAAATGATAGAAATTGCAATCTTTTTTCTCCTTCTTTGTAGGTGAGATGGAGGAATTTGAGGCCCTGTGGCTGACTGGCATCTGCCACAATGAGAAAAATGAGGTGATGAGCAGTCAGCTGGATGTAGACAACATGGCAGGTGTGTTCTACATGCTGGGAGCTGCAATGGCCCTGTCCCTTATCACATTCATCGCAGAGCACCTCTTCTACTGGCAACTGCGGTTCTGCTTCATGGGTGTGTGCTCGGGCAAGCCTGGCATGACCTTCTCCATTAGCAGGGTGAGTGGCAGATTCACTTTTGATCCAAAGGCAAACAACCACCAAGACTGACTTCAGGAGCAAGCAGCCTATTGAGTTTGTGAAGGTTTGGAGATTAGGAGTACTGTTAAGATAGATTAATAATAATTTTCTGCATTGGCATCTGTCTTATTGTTCAGTCAAAATTTATTTCCTATCCTAGGTAGTGACAGGTTTGTTGTCTAATTTGTGACACATCAAAGTGTAACAGATTATCAATAATAACAAAAAAACAACGTAGGTGGGGTTTTTGTTCTATGAATCGTTATTTAATTGGATTTCGTGATGAGCCGTTCCACACAAAAGTAGCAGCAGTTGAACTTGAACTTGCAGGGAGTGGGGTTTAAGTGGTCTAAATGATTGGAGAAGTCCTACATATTACATTTTCAATAAAAATTACAAAGTCAAAAGTAAAAAAATAAAAAAAATTACGCAAGCAAGTATTATGGAAGCCTGTTTCTGCCACTGAATAAAAAAATTTAAAAAGCAACTGCAACATTTTATCTCAATTCTTTTTTCTCAGAATTTGCCTGATACAAACTCACAATTCTGACATTTTTATCTCAGAACTGTGATGGAAACTCACAATTACGAGAAAAAAAGAGTTATTCTGACTTTCTCACAATTCTGATTTTATATCTCACAATTGGGAGAAAACAGTCAGAATTGTGAATCTGTATTACGCAGTTCTGAGAAAAACAGTGAGAATTGTGAGATAAAAACAGTTACATTTTTTTTTTTTTTTATTCAGTGGCGGAAACGGACTTCCATAAAGTATGAATTGTTCACAATAAGATCTATTAACATACATTTAGAAAATATTTCACTTTATGGCAAATGTATGTATAAAAAAAAATGTATCTTGAATGTGTATATTCTTAGCCCATCTGAAAATTACTTTTTTAAATAGTTTTAAGCGTAAACAGTAACTTTTGGTTGAATTTACTGTTTTAAGGATACACAATAAGATCTATTAACATACATTTAGAAAATATTTCACTTTATGGCAAATGTATGTATAAAAAAAATGTATCTTGAATGTGTATATTCTTAGCCCATCTGAAAATTACTTTTTTAAATAGTTTTAAGCGTAAACAGTAACTTTTGGTTGAATTTACTGTTTTAAGGATGCTTAAGTATTTTTACCTAAGCATGTAATTAAAAAAAAAACACACAAAACAAAGATAATGATTAAGAAATTTATTTTGCAGAGTAAAAACAATTTTCTATCATCAGCAGATAACTAAAATAACTTTTTTTAAATAAAATGTGCAAAGTGTATAAACATTTCCTTCACATTAGAATTATGTCAACACTTATTTTTATGCTGAAAAAGCCAGAAACATCTGGATGATAATTACATTTGATTTGAGGGCTTACCTACATTTTTTTGTGGTATGGTACATATTTATTTTTGTACATTTAAATCATTCTTTTTCTTTTGTTCTGATGTATGTGGGGGAAATGGTGAACATACTTTTCAATGCCCATTTTGCACATAATACAACATTATAAATCAGACCCCTGATCTTGAGCTAACCGGGCAAAGCAACAGTCACTGGTGCCATGACCCACATAATGGTGGGGATGAACACAGAGAGAGTAAATATCAGTTTATGTGACCAAACTGGCAAGTGACTCAAACATAAACCTGGGTTCACCTGAGTTCACAAATGATCTAAGCTAAAAGGATAAAAGATTTCTATATTAGTCTGTTAGCCACAAGGGCAATTTGTATGACCAGTTTCCTCAGCTACAAGTACAGACATAGGAAACCGATTTTCTTACTAGATATATTTCCCTTTGAGATGCAGATGTGTGTTTGAACACTAGCTAAAGCAGTGTTGCTGTGATGGGGGTAAGAAGAGTCTAAAATGAATAGGGGGGTGGGGGGCAACACAATATGGGAGAGAAAGGCACCTCTCAAGAGAAAGAAGGAAAAAGAAAGAAAAATTAGATAACACTGAATGAAGAATATGTTCTAACCCAATCGGATTGAAGGGTCAGGAGATGAATGAGAATAAGAGTCACAGTGGGAAGGATGGCCCGAGTTAAAAAAGACAGAAGGTAGAGAAGATAAGAGGAACATAAAGAGAAGCGGGGGAAAAATACACACGAGTGGACAGACACTAAGCGTGACTAAGAGTGAGACAGGAAACATTTCTGAAATGTTGCCTCACTAGAGGGATAGATCGCCAGTAGAAGAGTAACCTTTATCCTTTGAAATGTTTTGAAGAGAATTCTATTTGTTCCACATGTTTCATGTATTGTTTGTTATGAAACGGTTTTCTTGGTTTGTATATTAAAAAAACATTAATTCAAAAAACAATAAATTCCATTATAGTGCATCACAACATTTACAGGTTTGGGTATAAATGGAAGCACCCAGCCGTTTAAAAGATAATGAAGTATTTTGACTTCAAGCTAGTTTTACAATAACACATTTGCCATTTAGAAATTAGTTTGATAAAAGAAAGCCAAAACTACATAGATAAATGGATTAAAATGCAGTAAATCTGCATTACTGGTGAATGAGCTGGAGAGGTTTATTAGAATATTGTGTAATTAATTTGTCATGGCAGTGATGAAGGAGAGACAGAGGAGTAGACAGTGGTGTCAGCTGAATTTTAATCACACTGATTAAAGACATTGATAGGCAGTCAAAACCACAGAGTTACTGCAACCCTGTCACCATGTCATCATTAATCAGAACCTCTATCGCCCCTGCCGTTTCTCTTTCTTGAACATGTTTAGCTCTTTTTCCCTTCTCCTTTCATTCCTTTCTGTATCCCTCAATTTCCTTTCTCTGCTCTTGTGCACAATGTCAAAAGGTTAAAGACAACAATGAATAAACTCTTTTTTTACACGTGATGAACAGGAAATCCCTAGAAATAAGTTTTTTTAATTGTCTAAATTAAACTACAGCATATAGAAGACTGTCAGAACAGTAATTACAAATTCAGAGATTTGACTTGAAAGGACTAAGCCTTGAGACTTAACATGAACTTAGCATCAGAATTGTGAAAATGCTTGCTGCTAATTAAACAACAATCTAATCCCACATTGTTTGTTCCTTCTCCTCTGTTTTTGCTTTTCCTCATTTTATCTGTCCAACAGGGCATCTACAGTTGCATCCATGGTGTTCAGATTGAAGAGAACAAATCAGCCCTTAACTCACCATCAGCCACTATGAACATGAACATGAACAACACCCACTCCAACATTCTCCGTTTGTTGCGTACTGCCAAAAACATGACCTCTGTACCTGGGGTCAATGGTTCACCTCGCAGCGCACTGGACTACAGCCATCGTGAGTCAGCCGTTTATGACATCAGTGAACACCGGCGCAGCCTAGTAGGCCACACAGACTGCAAGCCTCCACCGTACCTGCCAGAGGACAACATGTTCAGCGACTATGTAAGCGAGGTGGAGAGGACTTTTGGGAATTTGCACCTGAAGGACAGCAACCTGTACCAGGATCATTACCTACACCACCATGGGGGCACGGGATCCGACCTGGCTCTCGGTATGTCGGGTCCCCTGCCTAACCGACCTCGTAGCTTAGGGAGTGCCAGTTCATTGGAGGGGGGGTACGATTGTGACAGCTTAGGGGGAGGGGTAGCGCCCATCTTCACCACCCAGCCAAGGCAGTCGCTGACACATCGGAACAGGGAAAAGTTTGACCTGATTGCGGGTCACCCCACCCAGTCAAGCTTCAAGTCCGGCCTGCCAGATCTATATGGAAAGTTCTCCTTCAAGGGTGAGGCATCCAGTTCAGGGTTTATTGCAGGACACGACAGGTACTGCGGGGGAGGTGGGGTGGGATCAGGAGGGGACGACGGAAACATTAGATCCGACGTGTCTGATATTTCCACTCACACTGTGACCTACGGGAACCTCGAGGGGCATGGCAAACGGCGCAAGCAGTACAGGGACAGCCTAAAAAAGAGACCTGCTTCTGCCAAATCTCGCCGTGAGCATGATGAGATTGAGCTTGGCTTCAGGAGACGTCCCCACCACACAATCCATCACCATCACCACCATCATCCAGCAACACAAGCACACCGCTCAGCCACCCCACCTGTGGAGCGCAAGAGCCTGAGAGGTGGTAACAGCACCTCCTATCTATTCAGAGACAAAGAGAATTTGAGGGACTTCTATGTGGACCAGTTTCAAGCCAAGGAAGGGGCATCCCCATGGGAGCATTTGGATTTAAGTGATGCTCCAGGAATGGGTGGAGGAGTGGGACTGGGTGGAGGCGGTTGCGGTGGAGTAGTTAGTAGCGGTGGTGCTGGGGGAGCGTGCACTAGTTTGGTTCCCATGGAAGATTTCCTGAAAGGTAAATCCAAGAAGACAGAATGTAAGGGTGGAATGGGAGGAGGATCGCCTGGGCAACAGGGCCATGCATGCTGGGAAAAGGGCATCGGAGGGGTGGGGGGGTTGGCTGGAGGGGATTGGGAATGTCGCAATTGCCACAGTGGAGGGGTTGGAAGTGGAGGAAGCAAGCCAGTTTGCATGCATGGGGGAGGCGGGGCTGGGGGAGTTGGGGGAACCAGTGGAGGGAGTGGACAAATCTCAAGCCGCCCTAGTTCAGCCACCTGCAAGCGGTGTGATTCGTGCAAGAAACCGGGCAACTTGTATGACATCAGTGAGGACAACCACCTCCTCTTGGATCAAACTGGGGGCAAGCACCCTCTGGAGAGCGGAAAGGGAGGGGGAGGCACAGGGGCCCAAACCCAGGTACAGAGGCGGAAATTTGGCCCAGGTGGTAAGGTTTTGCGCAGGCAGCACTCTTATGACACATTTGTAGAGCTGCAGAAGGAAGGGGCGGGCAGGATGGGAGGGTTTGGAGGCAGTGGTGGAGCGTCAATGCTTCCTCCACCCCGAAGCGTGAGCCTAAAAGACAAAGACCGCTACATGGAGGGCACGAGCCCCTACGCCCAGATGTTTGAGCAGTATGCGGGAGGGGAGCGGGAGACATCATATTTTGGGGACAGAGGGAAGGGCGGGGGTTCATCATTTAGTTTATTTCGTGGGGGTGAAGGTGGGTTGCACCGTCGCTCCGTGGGTGAGAGAGACATGAGGGACAGGGATAGAGGCATGATGGGAGGAGGTGTGGGCGGTACCCGAGGGGTCGGGACTTACTCCTTGTCTAAATCTCTCTACCCAGATAAGGTGAACCAGAACCCATTCATCCCAACCTTCGGCGACGACCAGTGTCTATTACATGGCGCCAAATCATACTACATCAAAAAGCAGCAGGCACAGCCGCAGCAGCAACAGCTCCTCAACAACAGTCGGGCTGACTTCCGGGGCTCCATGGGGGTGACTTCCTATTTGCCTGCTTCCGCAACTTCTGGGGTACTGTCCAATGTGGCCCCTCGGTTCCCCAAGGAGCTATGTCTGGGCGGGCCTCTTGGCAACCACTACGGTGGAGGACCTAGCAACAACAAGCTGCTGTCAGCAAGGGATGGGTTAGGAATGGGTCAAGGACAGAGACCGTTTAATGGCTCGAGCAACGGACATGTTTACGAGAAGCTTTCCAGTATAGAGTCTGATGTCTGAAGAGGGAAGTCAGAAACAGATAAAAACGCAGAAAAGAAGCCAACAGACATGCGGAATGATGATTGAGAGAAAACTGAAAAGGCAGTGTGTAATTAGTTCCTTCATGCTCACGACAAGAAGAGGAAACCGTGTGTGAGGAACTGACTCGTGCTTTCTTTAAGTTATGCGGATCACGCGCTGCCAAGCATACGTATGTAAATAGAGAGAGGGGACCTGCCCACTGTCAAAAAGTTGAGATTAGGGGGAAAAATCTGTTTATTCCTCTCTTTTATTCTCTTGTTTTTTGTATATTTAACTATTTCCCTGCTCCTAACATCAAAATAGCGGCCAATCCAGATGGAGACAACCGTGTACAATCCTTTGTACAATTGTGGATGGAAATCAGTTATTCTTTTTAAGCAACAGGGTAAAACTTACAATAATTGTATTGATAATGTTCCTGATAATAATATTGTTATATATTATTACAATGTTTATGATGTTCCATTTGGGCTTGGTTTCTGGATGTTTTATGCTGTTATATATTTGTACTGTAGTTTCAGTTATTAGTTAACAAACCACTTTGCGGGAGGCTTTTTTGATTTGTCAACTGAGCTTATTTGATTGTTAATTGAATTGTAGACATACTTGGATTCCATAAGGTTATTTATTATTGATTATTCAAGTTTATTTTACAAGTATGGAGTGCTGTAAGATGTGTGTACAAGGCATGATTTGCAAAGTACTTCAGCTGTACTTGAGATATCATTGTGAAGGAAATGTATTATCACCTTATTTTTACAGTGTTCCGTTTGTTTGAACAGTATAGGTTTAATACACAGCACGTTATGTGCCTTACCAAGACTTACAGAATACCTGATTTACAGGTCATATTGCCATGGTAACTTTCTGGTCACTGCACACAGACTTGTCATTGGATGATTCATATAATTCTGGAAGCTTCCTTTTAATGTTATAAGCACTGATATGGAATATCCAGCATTGAGGAGACAAAGTAGGCTAAATGTGTTTATAGTATTAATCTCAAGAACTAGGTTCTAAAGAAAACCAGATAAATTATTATTCGAATAGCTTTTAATAATAGGAACATAGGATATTTGAGGTTTGCACAACATTGTACAGTACACAGTATCCTCCCTGAGGGTCGAGGCGTGGGGCGTTACATTTGTATGGTGTTATCTACAATATAGAAATAAAAATCAATGAATTAATAATTTTTTCTCCACCATCCCCCAATTCTGAGGAAGTCTTTGATCAAGCAGCAAAATAACAACTGTGTCATGGATTTGTTTCTTCTTAGAATGCAGTTAGTATTGGATATGCTTATCTATACTTTCCTTAGGGAGACGCCAGTACACAGTATGTATGGTTTTGCAAGATTCTCAGCAAATACTTGCATTTTGTTATGTAAATACACATTTTTTTCCCACTCTGTACAGTGAATAGACAGAAAGGATGTAACTCTACAGATCTATGTTTTACCATATTGGTTAGATGATATTTTAGGAATTACATTAAACATTAACAATCCAACTTTGCTGCAAAATGTATCAGTTAAAAATCAACGAACGGACAAACATTAAGAATTTTTCTATGTCCTCCCTACTGTTATTCAGTCTAATAAAATCCTTTACTGCACCTGAACAGGAGAAGTGAAATTTTGTACATATTTTAGTTTATGCCAGTCAGAGTGCTTTTTTACCACCATCCCCCAATTCTGAGGAAGTCTTTGATCAAGCAGCAAAATAACAACTGTGTCATGGATTTGTTTCTTCTTAGAATGCAGTTAGTATTGGATATGCTTATCTATACTTTCCTTAGGGAGACGCCAGTACACAGTATGTATGGTTTTGCAAGATTCTCAGCAAATACTTGCATTTTGTTATGTAAATACACATTTTTTTCCCACTCTGTACAGTGAATAGACAGAAAGGATGTAACTCTACAGATCTATGTTTTACCATATTGGTTAGATGATATTTTAGGAATTACATTAAACATTAACAATCCAACTTTGCTGCAAAATGTATCAGTTAAAAATCAACGAACGGACAAACATTAAGAATTTTTCTATGTCCCTACTGTTATTCAGTCTAATAAAATCCTTTACTGCACCTGAACAGGAGAAGTGAAATTTTGTACATATTTTAGTTTATGCCAGTCAGAGTGCTTTTTTTAAATAACGCAAGACATGATAATGGTGGGGATGACTCCAGTTATTTTCCCTATCCTTTTGTTGTTCATTTGCAGTTTTAATACCCACTTATATGAAGTAGAGGTATTTCTCAGGAATTTTGGATGGGCACAGGCAAAAACAAACATATCATTTAGCTAAATTGCCTAATTACCTAAATCAATAAACCAGTGAACTAATTTAATTGGATAAATGAGAGCCATGTGAGGTTCGTTGCTAGTATTTATGACTTTTTTCCCCCCATTGTTCGTGAAACCACAAATGAACTCATGGCAGGGCAGTCTGAAGACGTTGTCATTTTTTTAACTCTTGGCCCACAGCTTAGATAAAAATCCTTTACTTGAAATTTGTTGTGTTTATTGCAGATTTTCTTTATACATTTTCTTTGTGAATGAACTGTTAGCCAAACAGATCTCCACTTTAAGCACAATATTTATAATATTCGGTTTATAATTGATGTATAGCTATCGATTTGTGAATTTTTTATCTTAACTTTCTGCCACATTTTTTTTTTGACTCAGTTGTCTTTGTGTGTAAGAGTTTGTGTTTAAGATGGGCATGCATGTCTTTTACTTATTTTATTGCCATATCTTTAGCGTTTCATACATTTATGTCTATTTAGATATCATGCCTGCTCTTTGTGGGTGCAATATGTTGATAAACTGTGCATCATACAGGTTCGGGTTGTACAATAGATGTGGTGTTTCCAATGAATTGATAAGATCTTTGAAAATGGATATGTATGGAATAATAACTCGTTAAGGAAATTAACCGGCAATCCCAAATTTGGGTGATGTTGCTAGATTTCGTCAGGAATACTGCCATTAGTTAAGCATAAGTTTTGAAAAAACATTCTTGTGTCCATGTAAGGCTAATTTTGTCTTTTTTGTCACAAGATTTTTTCATGATACTTTTCTTTGCATGGTACCATTTTTCTAAAGTACCCTTAATATTTTTTATGCTTGGTCTGTTTTTCTGATTTTAGTTTTATTTAGTAAATCATTTAACGATATCTCATAACAGTGTGGCATTGCTTTAAGAGCTATAGATGTGGTAACAGACCACTGCATTTCCTGTTAATCTCTGTGTTTGTACCGCAGAGTCGAGCCAACAGTTTTTAGTAGTAGTACTATGTAGAAGTAGTATTGTGTGATTGGGTGTGTGAGTGTCAGGGACAGATGCCTTTGCTCTTCCTGAAAAGCTTTCCAGTTTTAATTCTCACTTTAAAGATGTGGCCTTGTAAAAGCACGCTAATATAACATTTGATAAACACAGGTTAAGTGTGAGATGACATTTGCAGCAGAAGATACAAGGGAGATGGGCCGATAAAATGGGCGGACAAGGACGGAGGTATAGTAGCCAGTGTTTTGTGTTATTTCAGTGTTTTAGTTCCCTTTTCATTCATTCTCATTTGAACTAATCTCTTTCTTTATGACTGGTAGGATAAGACTACACTAGTTTGACTCTATTTTACTGGTTTGTCATTTTAATGCCCTCCCCAGTAAGGTACATCACATATGATTGTACATGTATCTGAAATCATATGCTTGATTACCTCTGTATGCGAGTGGGCATGTGTGCGCGCAGGTGTTTGTGTGTGCACATTTGTCTGTGCAAGTGTGTGTGTGTGTGTGTGTGAAAAGGAAACAGAGCACAGTGCAATGGTTATCTACTATGTCTGCTGTAAATAATTATGTCCCCTTTCAATAGCCTTTTAATATATGAAGACAAATATTTAAAATAATGAAATTTGAGATACATTTTTGTCTGGAAGATTTTTTATAGCCACATGGGGAAAAGTTATTAGACCACTGGACCAGGAACACAGTGCCATTCTAATAGCATTCGAGAACCAGAATTGAAGACCAAATTTACACCTTTGTTGTCTTCAATTCTGTCCTTCTTGTATTTTAACCACTTATTTTAAATGTTACTTATGGATCAGAACTGTACAGATTCTGTAAATATGACAAAAATGGTTTCTTTTTTTCTGTTTTTGTATAGAGAGAGATTACATGTGTTAAGACTACAATAATAATTGAATGAGACATTTCACAATACTTAAGCTATTGAGAATACAGACACAGTGTGAAAATAAGTGCTAAGATATATTCTTCTGTCTCTTTGTACAAAACAGTGTTGACTAAAAACAAAATAAAAGGGAGATATCTCAAGCCTCATAGTCCTTCTGTGTTTTTCCATTCATCCCCAGCAGCCAGAATCTGAGGGGAAATGGTGACACTCCTTTTTTCCCTGTCATCATGTGCCAGATATGAATCTCACTTGCTTTTCACAATATGACAATTGTGAAATGTGTTTCTTATGTATTTGATAATCATTTGACTATTCAACACAAGCTTAGCTTTGCTTCGTGACATAATGTACATGGAACGTGAATGAGAGCTTCTTAGCCACTTGTGTTGCCTTGGATACGTCTGGTTCACAGCATCATGAACAAACTGCAAGCAAATACTGATGTCACTGAATTCATCTCTCATTTCTGTATCTATCGATTCATGTCAAACATATTCTGATTATTGATTCCCGTGCTGGTTCTAATCATGAGGATGTCGTACATGCTGTTTATTTTTAAAGTAATAGCTGTTTATTTTAAAACCATTTGCAATTCAATGTTTCACAAACCTACTCTCTTTCTATTCCTGTCTCACTCCCCCACTCTCTTTTTTCATTCCCCTTCCTCTCTTTCTCTCACAAGCTTTCTTAAAGCAGCCAATCACAGAATGCATTGCAACACATGTAACTATTTCTTGACAATTAACTGTTACCTAGCACATACACACTGAAACTGTGCCTATTTAAATAAAAAAGGCTACCAGGAAAGTAAAAAAAAAAACATGATAAAACATTGTAAAACTTGTTCAAATGAATAATTTACTAAAAATGAACCATAAAGTAGTCATAAAGTAGTTTTAGTGGTGTTTAGTCATAAAATAGAAATGTTACATTTTTCTGTATATTACTTTCAGGTTAGGCACTGTGCCAAGCAAACCCAAACTGCATAACATAATTGAACATAATTAACAAAATTAAGTAACGTGTCTGGTTTTGTTTACCCAGAACTAAGGATTTCATTTGTAATTAAGTTATCTTAATACACTCCATCAGAGATATTCAACAAAGAATTAATATTGTCAACCAACCCCTGCAGTTCAATATTTTAGCACAATTAAAAAATGAGTAGTCAATCATAAACACACACACACACACACACACATTGACATAATTATATTTTAAAGTATTCAAATTTATTCACCTGATTTTATTCCTGTCACACACATGTCTCTGGATACCGATACCTAAATGAAGATTCTCCACAGAAAATTCTCTCATAGTTGAGGTATACCTATGATGAAAACTACAGGCCTCTCTCATCTTTTTAAGTGGGAGAACTTGCACAATTGGTGGCTGACTAAATACTTTTTTTCCCCACTGTATATATATATATATATATATATACTGCAATATATGCATCGACCAAGTTGGCCTATGTTTATATATTGCTACAAATATAAATATTCAGTAGCCTATAGCAATGAAGATTAGCGCACTACTTATTTAACTTATTACTTACTTGTAATTTGATATAGATACTGAGGAAACCTTTTCTGGGATTTTAAGTGCTGTTTCCATGCTAATAGCTTAGAATCAGCATCTAGAAAACAATCTCCTTAGGGCTAGAATGCAAGTCTGTTAAACTGCCGACTTCAGGATAACAAACCCCCAAAGGACGGTGCGTTTTTCTAGTTTATATAAAACAGTCCAACAAGCAGCTTTCATGTGCAAAAAAAACTTTTTCCACAAGACAAGAAAGATTTAGTGAACATAGCAAAGAGAGATATAGCTGGTTTAACACTCTCTAAGTTGCATGTTATAAAAAAATATTGGTGGTTGGTTAACACTAATTGCTTCACTTGCTTTGTACCATAGTAAAGAGTCTTTTCAATGAATTTGTACAGGAAAGACAGCGTGTTACCTGGAGTAGTCTGGCAGAAGGGCATTGGGTTGTGAGTGTAAGAGAGTCTTGATATCTTTGAATATGCGTTTGCCCCAGACGTCCAACACTCGAGTCACGCTGCGTATGTTAGCCACGTTCACATTCTCCGCTGCCGTGAGGGCAAAGACAATGAGGTTAGTCTCTTATAAGGCAGGCAACCACATGACAAGAGGCTTTCTGATGCTTCAGAATGGTATTAATCAGGTTTCTTTCACTGGACTACAGGGCTTTAACTTTAAAGAGTGGAATTACACTCTTAAAAATAAAGGTGCTTCACGATGCCATAGAAGAACCCTTTTGTCTAAATGGTTCCATAAAGAACCTTTAACATCTGAAGAACCTTTCTGTTTCACAAAATGTTCTTTGGGGCGAAAGAAGGTTCTTCAGATTATAAAAAGGTAAGAAAGAGATGGTTCTTTAAAGAACCTTTGACTGAATGGTTCTTTGTGGAACCAAAAAT